GGTCTATTCAGGATCCCGCGGCCCTGCCCTCGGTTGTCTCACTCACTCGCGGGGCCTGTGCTCTGGATCTATTCATGATCCTGCGGCCTGGGTCCTCTCACTCACTCGCCGGGCCTGCCGTCTGGGTCTGTTCAGGATCCCGAGGCTTGGGTCGTGTCACTCACTCGCAGGGCCTGTGCTCTGGGTCTCTGACATTTACTTTCACTTGGCACTGTTTTATTTATTTATTCATTTCTGTATTTTAGGGAAGGGTCTACCAGGTGCTCAGAGTCTCACTACTAGATTGGACTCATGATCTGCTTGTTTACAGCCTCCCAAGAGCTGGGGTTACAGGTGCGCGCCACCACACCCAGTCTTGTCTCAGCTCGACCAGGGAGCAGGGCCGACGTGGCAGGCATGGCAGGTTCAGGATTGAACCCTGGGTCCCTGTGCCTGCTTGCAGGTGCTTTAATCTACTGAGCTAATTGACCTGCCCTGGAGCTGTTTAATTTGAAGCCTGGATTGCATCTTAGCTATGAGGTTGGCCCTGTACAACCCAAGGGTCCAGCACATTATCTAAGTGCTATGTCACTCAGCTATATCCCCCTAGTCCGTAAGTTTTATTTTGGGGTTTCTGTTGGTAACATTTATACAAGAAACTGTGTTAAGTAAACTTTTTTTTTTTTTGTGGAACCAGGGGTTGAACTCAGGCTCTTGCACTTGCCAGGCAGACACTTACTCTACTGAGCCATCTCCCTGGGCCCTGTATTAAGTAAACTTACAATTTAAAAATACAATCTTGGGGCTGGCTGCTAAGTGGTAGAGTGCAAGGCCTTGATTTATTCCCTGAAAGAGACTTAAGAAACCAAACCAACAAAACCCACTGCTCTGGGGTTGGGGCTTTCCCCCCAGAGGCACTGATGTGAGAACCCCTCTACTGGGGAGGGGAGCTGGTGTTTCTCAAGCAGTGGCCTCTACTGACCTAACTTTAGCCCCTGCCACTGGGACCCAGCTCTGCACCTCCACATGGTCTGCCACCAGGTCGCTGTGAGGCCTGCTCATTTCCATGGCAGTGGCGGTGCTCCATGAGCCAGAGAGTGCTGCCCCGCAGGACCGGATTCCACCTCAGAAAAGGCACAGTTTGTTTTTTCTAAGTGGGTCTCTTTGTTTGTTTGTTTTAATAGGGTCTCACTGTGTAGTCCAGGCTGGCCTCAAATTTGCAGCGATGCTCTTGCTTCAGCCTCCTGAGTGCTAGGATTAGAGGTGTGTACCACCATGTCTGGCTAGTCTTGGGCCATTTGTTTCATTTGTTGGCTAATTTATGAATTGTCCTTTAGACCTGACACTTAACTATATTTTTTTATTCTTGTACTTTGCTTTCCTTGTTTTCTTTTTTAATTTTTGTTTTATCAATCTACCTGTCTGCCTACAGTATTGAAGATTGAACTCAGGGCTTTCTAGCTCAACTACATCCTCAGCCTTTTGTTTTGTTTTTCCTGAGATAGGGCATCACTGAACCACTTGCTCCCCCAGGCTGGGCTTGAATGTGTGGTCTTGCTGCCTCTGCCTCCCAGAGTTTTGGGATTACATGAATTCCCCACCAAGCCTGGCTTTTAATTTTGGTTAATGTACTAGATATATTAAAATGGGTGCTAAAAGGTATAGTCTGTTAAGGTTTTTGGCCTCCGATCTAATCTTTTTTTTTTTTTTCCTCCGAATGCCTTCAGGGAAGATTTGGCTGGCTTGAGTTGTGGGGATCAATTGAGCCTGACTGATTTGGTGAAGCAGCCACTTAAAGAGCTGAGCTAAGGGGCAGCCCCCCCTCTGATCTAATCTTTTTCATACATTTTCAGTAAGATTAATAGGAAGCTTTTAATGGACCTCACCTTGAACTTAAAAAAAAAAGAAAACTTACCTTAATGGAATTTTTTTTTCCTTTTCACATTGATGGAATTTCTTTAAAGATAATATAATTACTTCCTTAAACTCACTTTTACTCCTGTGTTAACTTTGCATGCCACCATGCCCGGCTACCTGTAACATATTTATTTTTTTATATAGTTTGTGAGGAATTCTCAGAGCTTTTAGAACATTTGTTTGTATCTTATTTTGAAATTAATGTTTCTTTAAAGTTTGTAATCAGACTGAATGTAAGCTTAATGTCTTTTCTTGAGTTCCTGGCCAATGCTCATGGAATAATAACTTTAAATTTGGGAGAGCCAGGCATGGTGCCACATACCTGTAATCCCAGCAATCAGGAGGGTGGATACTTGAGAATAGCCACAAGTTTGAGGCCAGCATGGGCTACATAGCAAGACCCTGTCTCCAAAAAATAAAAAAAAGATTGTGGAGAATCCCAGGAGGAAATATAGTGGTTATCTAAATCACAGGTATGTGAAAATTTTTATTTATAACCTTAACTTTTTTGTTATTTAGTGGGGCAATATCTTTTGTGTGCCACAAAGCTCTGTGATCTTGACCCTATTAACTCCTAAGTTTTAGCAATGACCTGGGTGAATAAGAGGTAAAACTCAAATTTTATAAATGGTGCACAACTGAGAAAGATGTGTTAGATGACAGAATCAAGAGGAATCAGTTCCTCATCATCTCCAGGACAGGATGTGTCATGAACTGAACTCAGCTTAGTTGGATGTGAAGATAAGTGCTTATCTTATCTCTAAGCAAGCTGAGTTTTTTTACTTAAAAAATGCAAAATCTGGGCTGGAGATATAATGTACCCAGTGCCACAAGTGCCTGCCTGGCAAGCGCAAGGTCCTGAGTACAGTGTCTGGTACCGCATGCCATGCCGGCCCCAGAACTCCAGGTGTGCCATGCCTCCCCAAGACTGGGTGTGGTGACACATGCCTGTAATCCTAGTTCTAGGGAGACTGAGACAAGAGGAACACTACAAGTTCAAGCTGTACAGCAAAACTCTGTATCAAAAACAAAAAACACAAATGTTAGCAGGCCCAGCAGTGGTGGTGCACCCTTCAGATCCTTGCTCCTGGGAGACTGAAATAGGACTGCTTTGGGTTTGAAACTAGCCTGGACTACAAGAGCCTTCCTCAAAATAGTAAAATAAACAAGAAAGATATTAAAACCTGGTATATGTTAAATTTTGTAATGTGCCTCTTATTTTGGGGGGGGGGGCTTAATTTTAATTTTTTAAATTAATTTTATTGAACAAATAGAGAGAGTTTCAAAACTGATTAGGACAGTTTCAGTAATTAATACATTGCATATTGTTGTCTTCGTAGTGGTTATTCATAGTACAAGGTGCAGACATGATATCCTGTCCAAACACTATTAGTATAAATCTTTCTTATTGAATTAAGAAAGTAGCTGTATATCTATCCTATTTTGTATATACAGATACAAAATGGTCCTTCATTTGTATCTCTTCTTTTTGTGTAGTTTTGTTAGAGATGGGTATTTCATTACCATTTAAATATTGTAGGTGCGTGAATTGAACAAAATAATCCAATATAGCCCAGTAGTCCATACTAGTAGTGGGTTATCCGTAGGTCTGGCAATGTCAGAAGTTGTTGACTTGAGCCTTTTACAGTTCAGCATATTAATATGGCTTTATTTTTTTTTAAATTTATTTATTTTTTTAAATATTTATTTATTTATTTATTTTGTGTGTGTGTGGCCAGTTCAGCCCACCAGGGGGCAGGGCTGGCTGGCATGTGGTGCTGGGGGATTGAACCGTGGTCCCTGTGCTTTGTTTAGCTTGTTCTAAGTAGGTGCTTTAGACCACTGAGCCATCTCACCAGCCCTATGGCTTTACTTTATATACCTCGTTATTATACTTTTCTGCTGGATGGTTAAGACCAAGATAAAGCAAGACCTATATAACAAGAAATGTAACTTTTGTATCTGACAAGGTCAGTCAAATCCCCTCAGGATTTACCCTGAAACCCTGTGCCGCAGTTTGTAGATCCTTTGTCAGTGTCAGCTATGGGGATGAGTCACGGCCATTGCTTGGCCAATTTGCTTTCTGTGAAAGCCTGAGAGAATGTTTTCTACCTCTCCTTAGGCATACTACATTATCGTTTAATGTGCCTCTTATATACATGTTCTAGTAAGCATAATTACATATAGCCCTTACGTGAACCCAGGAGACAGACTATTATTGCCATCATGTGGATAAAAAGCTCAGGCTAAGTCTAAGACATACAGAAAAGGTGGGGCGAGGGCCAAGACCTCACCTAACTCCAGCGCTGATGACATCTGCTGAATACTTGTGTCTCATGACAGAGCTCAGCCCTGCAGAGGAGGGGTCTAGCTATGGCAGACACAGAGAAGAGCAATGGGCAGGATGTGACCTTTACAGACGGTAGATGTAAGCAAGCAAATATTGGACACATAGAAAGATTTTATTGGCTGGGTTCAATTACTATAGAAGAGTAGAAGTTTGAGAAAGATTTCTTTTGATAGTTATAAAATGGTAGAATTTTGCCTTTTTTTTTTTTTTTTTTTCTGTCAGAACTGGGGATTGAACTCAGGCCCTTGCCAGGGAAGCACTTATTCTATTGAGCTATCTCCCCGGCCCCAGATTTTGAAATTTTAGGAAACTTTACAAGTCTGGTTATCCTTCATTATTAAAATTGAGAAAGCACTCTATAAGATTATGGTTTGGTAAATTATTGTCAAAGTCAGTACCAGGATCCAAATCCAATATATACCATTAGTGTGTTACGTTGCACATGCACCTAGTATGTGGTAGACATTGAATAGCATATCTATGTATTTGTTGTTCCTATTGTCCCTTGCTTTGCATGCTCATTTAGGATCTAATATTTGAGGTGGGGCATACTAGGGATTGAACCTAGGACCTTTACAGTGAGCTTTGTCCCCAGCCTTTTTTTAAAGTTTTGAGACAGGGTTTTGCTCAGTTGCCTAGGTTGGCTTTGAGCTTGTACTCTTTCTGCCTCAGCCTTCCAGAAAGCTGGGATTACAAACTAGCTAACCTTGTTCTGGATTAGATTTCTTATTTTTAGTATTCATGTTATCAAGAGGGCGTGTTTGTTTGTTTGTTTGTTGAGACAGAGCCTCACTAAGTAGTTTGGGCTGGCATTGAACTCACTTTGTAACCCAGACTGACCTGGAATTTGCAGTAATCCTCCTGTCTCAGTCTCCTGAGTGTTGGGATTACAGGGGGCATGCCGCCATGTCTAACACGAGGGAGCCTTTTGCCACACAGTTGTTTTATGAAATATAATAATATATAAATGAGGATTATGTTTAAATTGTCAAAGGTTGAAGCGATGGAACAGAATATCACCAGTAATAAGTGTATACTTTGCTTAAGGAAGAATGGGATCTCCCATTTATGTATAGTTTTGTCATTTTGTGTGAGCTCGGTGTAATCAGTATGATGCAGTAGGGACCAGGACAGGAGGACCATGATCAACTAGAGGGACTGTTGCTACAAATCACTTTCAGTTACCTTATATTGAGAAAGAGAAGATGAGAAGTTGGGTGGAAGATGATCATGAAGAAATATGTAACCAGCCTGATACACTGGAGTAGAAACTATGCCACTAGGTTTTCTGGTTGAACTGGGTGTTGCTGACAAATTACTAATGGACTAGCTCCTTATAATTTCTAATGGGAAGGATTAGAAATGACCCAGACTTCAGTTCCATTGATTGAAGAAACTGACTTTGAAAATAATGAACAAAATAGTTTTGTTGAACTGTACAGGTTTGATGTGTGGACTTAGAATTTTTTATTATTCCTTGCTATTGTGGATAGAAAACAAAAATACTAGTTGGGGAGATAGCTTGGCAGCATAAGTGCCTGCTTGGCAAGTGCAAGGTCCTGAGTTTGATTCCCAGTACCCAAAAAAAAAAAAAA